CCCTTCCTGTCTCAACCCACCACCCCCTTCGTTCCTGCTTCTCTATACTTCCAACCTGGAATGTCTTTTCTATGACCTCAATCTTAAGCCGGTGGCTGCCTGGCTGGCCCCTGAGTCTGCCATACCAGGTTATGCTGCCTCTGAAACCAACTTCCCTAAAACTCATGCAGACAGACCCATCTCTTGGGATGGACTTTCGGGACCACACGCTGGGGCTCCCATAGGCCTCAAGGGGGACACACACAGCAGCTCTCCTCATCTCAGGCCAGACAGACATCCAGGTGCCCTCCACATGCTCCCTGGGCCTGGAAGGTGCCCAGGACCACAGGTAGCGGAGGTGTTTCCAGGAAGAAGGAAATGGAGAGGTGTCCTGGGGTGTCAGGGTCCCACCTGGCTTGGGTCCTGTCTCAGCTTTGCCTGGCATGTTGTAAAAGGCTATGTGACCTTGGGCGAGTCACTTCAGCTCTCTGTTCCCACCTCTGCTAGGAATCCCTACCCCATACACCCAAGATCCTTGAATGCTCATCCAGAGCAAGGCCCCAAACTCACCCAGGCCAACCTCTGAGAGAACTTGGGAGGGAGGATTTTAGAAGAGGAAATAGGGCAGAACAGAGTGGATCATTGCTGGAGGAATTTCAGGCATTAGCCAGAAAGGTTATCTGTGTGTGTACTGGGGCTGGGGAGGGCGGCAGAGGGTGGGAAAGGGCAAAGGCAGGACAGCCAGCCTATGGGCCCCGCTCAGCCGCTTCCACGCTAGGTGCTATGGGAAATTCAGGTCTCAGGCTGCAGTCTGTGAAATGGAACATCTGCTTCCCAGGCAACTGTGAAAACAAGAAGTGATCCACGCAGCCCAGGGCACAACTCCAAACCATAGCTGAAAATCTGGTTCAGACAGGCCTGGGACAAAACTCCAAACATTTAAGAAACCCCAGTCCGGAAGGTGAGGCATGTTTCTCCTGCGATCTCCAGGTCTCCCTCTCACCTTCCAGAGGTTCCCCCGGAAATAAGAACCTCTCCGCGCTGAAGTGGAAACGGACTTCTTTCACAGCAAACACTCCACCAATGGAAGCCAAGGACATCCAGTCTGTCGTAGACCGCCGTATGACCTCGGGGAGGCTCCCTGAGCTCTGAACCCCTCACTGCACCAGGGGCTATATGACACCTACCCCTCCCTCACAGGCTTTAATGCTGGCAATAGCTAACACTTCATAGAACTTACTCAGAACCACACGAAGCAGATGAACTATTATCCCCATTTTATAGGTGAAGAAACTGGGGCATAGAGAGGCTAAAGAACTTGCCCATAATTACTTAGCTCATACATGGACCTCATGGGATACTGTTGAGGCCCAAATGAAACCAGGATCCAGAGGTATCTTTGAAGAGCAGCACAATTTAACAAACATAAATACTGTTACTTCATAAGTAACAAATACTGCTCACGCCTTTGACCCAGGTCAGAGGCAGGTTTGCAGCTGGTGAAGCTAACAGAGCTTAGACCCCTTGCCTGGCCTCTTCTGAGGCCCTGACAATGCATTTGCGGGAACACATGATTTATAAAATTTGCAAAACCAGTACTTTTTTGTACGTTTTTCCTAGAGTCCCTCATCTTTAAATTGTATAAGTTCAGGCCTCTACAGTCACCTAGGTCCAGGATATAATTTTTTTTAAGGGTGGGGTAGGGACAGGAAGGTGATAAGTCAGGTGTTTATAGCAGGGGCAAGGGAGAAAAGCAAGTTCCAGGGTCAGCCAGGCCAGCTGGGTCCTGGCAGTGCACAGTGGACTAGGCTGGAGGACTAACCCGAGGCAGATTAGGGTAAGGTGAGTGGCAGGTGAGGCTTGATCCCCATGGTAGAAACAAATCCGTCATTCAAATTCCTCTCCCCATCCCAGAATCCAGGCACATCCAGGGCAGGCACAGTTGATGAGTGAATAAAGGAATAAATGGCCCATCACCTCCTGGTGTGACCCTGGGCAGGCTATTTTCTAGGGCTGAGCCCAATTTCCTCATCTGTAAAACAGGTGGATAACTCCCACCTCGTAAGGCAGTGGGGAAGACCCAAAGAGACAAGGTACAGAAAGTGCTGGGCATGGTACTCAGAGTGGGGTACTCCCCCAAGAAAGCAGTGTCTGAAAGTGAGGGTGCAACCTGCTTGTGGGCTGGGCAGTCAACGGGGCCTGTCTGTTGCTACTGCTGCCAGCTCTGCTGAAGGGCTAAGGCCTGGGGGAGAATTCTAGAGCAGTGCCTGCCTTGTGCCAGCTTCAGTGCCCTCTGCCTGGCATGTCCAGTTCCCATTCCATGAAGGGGAGCAGATGCAAGGGGAGTTCCTGGGCTTAATCCTACTGTTCCCCAACCTGGGACCAATCAGAGCTGGTCGATAACCCCCAGAGCTGCCACATCCCACCTCAAAGAGGTCGAAGACACCTCCTAGGGCTCTCATATGACACAAACCAGGCCTTGCACAGCCAGAGCCCTTCATAACTCTGAAGCACTCCCTGTTCACTGGCTCTCTCTACGCTCCTGACAAAAGCACCACACAGCGCCACATGGGTACGACACTTACCAGGTGATCACCCTGTAAGGTATACAAATGTCTAATTACTACATCGTACACCTGAAACTAAAACAATACTGTATGTCAACTGCAATTGAAAAAGAAATTATTTTTTAGAAAGCATCACATGGGTACTAACTATGCCATTTCGCTAGACAGATGATAAATGCATGGAAAAAATGGAAGGAAGGAAGGAAAGGAGGGAGGGAGGGAAGGAAGATGAGACTCAGTTAAGTGACTCGACCGACATCACACAGCTGAGACATGGCATACAGGGCACAAATCTAGGCCTGATTTTCCTGCAGTGGCCATGGCCAGCATGTGCCCTCAGACCCCAGGCATCCCCAAGGACAGCTCAGTGAGACCGTAAGCCAGGTTGCCTGGGCCCCATAGGCTGGGGATGGCTTCTCAGGGAGCCACCGTAAGAGGAGCAGAGTTGATGGCCTCAAAACAAGCTCTCTGGACAGAAAAACACAGGGGCCCCGTGAGTCCAGCCTCCCCCGCCCCCACAGTGCCACAGCAGCCCCCTGACACCCTCTGCTGTACTCTCGCCCCCTCCCATCCTGTCTCTACCAAGCAGTAACCAAGATGTGCATAAAACGTGGATCTGCTCACACTGCTGTACAGAGACTTCTGCAGCTCCCTTGGCTCTCAGAACAAAATCCTGCCTGCACCCCGGCTCAGCCTTGTAGGGTCAGCCCACGCCAGCCTCCTGGGCACAGTCTCGCTCTGGCTCCCATTCTACCTGCTTGGCCTCCCTGCTCTTCTCTCTGTTTCTCTAATCTCTGGCTACAGCCCTTTGCCAGCACGATGCTCTTGCCCGCGTCGGCTGGTCAATGCCAGGCCATTCCCCTATCTCAGCATTAACGCTGTTCCTTGGGGAAGTCCCACTGCCAGTTTCCTCTGTGATCGGCTCTTGAAGCACCGTGTATAATTTCTTCATGTCATTTACCAGAGTCTATAAAGAAATACTGATGCCTGCAATCACACAAATCATGGTCTCTCTTCCAGTAAACTGGGAGCTGCTGGAAGGCAGAGACCAAGCCTGGCCACGCCCACCACCATATCACCCAGGGGTAAGTTCCATCCATAGGGACCTAGGCTGGCAAACCAGACCCTGGGGTGGGCAGACCCCCGAGAGTATGCCTGGATACAAAGACATGGCTTAGTGACAGGAAAGCAGGCTTTAGGGGCTGGTTTGAATCTTGGACCTGCTCTGTCATCTCACACAAGTTACTAAACTTCTCAGCCTTGGTTTCTCCATCCAAGGAGTGAGGGTGATAAAATTACATCACAGCAGGGGCTTGAGGATTCAACAGGGCAATGGGTATGAACATTTCCTGTCATCCCCACAACCTAAATGTTCTTCCCAGAAGCCTCCAGGAGAAACTGTGGCCCTGGGAGAGGTCTCTGGAGTGGGGGCGGAGCATTCCAGGAGGTGATACCCTCCTAGGGTCCCCACTCTGTGACTCCAGAGCTCCCCAAACCTTTCCCCACTCAGCCTTAGAGCTCCGGGCATATGCTCCCCACCTTGAAGTGGGATTTCCCCCACTCTCCCTCAGGAAGCCCCGCTGACCTGAGCACAGGAACCTCTCCCCCTACCAACTGACTACCTCCTTTGGACTCCTCAGACCCCAGGCCCGCAGACATCCTTCAGGGACGACCCCGTGTGTTATTCTCACCTACCCAACACCACGGTTCTTAGAGGGCAGAGCCAGCCCGGGCCCCCTCAGCCACCTCAGCCCTGGGTTTTGCATCACACGTTATGATCCTGTCCCATGTACCTTACCATCCCCAGCCCAGGTCTGGCTCACACTGCCACATTCAGACAGCAAAAGGATAAATACAGACTCTAAAGGACTTGGGGGTCACTGGCCCCTTCCAACCTGGCCCCAATACCTAGGACTACCAGAGAAGAGAGGCCCCTGACAGGAAGGCTCAGCTAGAGATTTCTTTGGCTCCAATGACCCAATTCTCCCCTCCACAGCTAAACTTAATTAGGTGTGTGAACCAGCCACCCCTGGGCCAGGGGCCTTGAGCCCTCCAGTCTCTGGCCTTTTCCAGTATAGGCCTGGCACATCCATGTTGATGGGCTAAATCAATGGATAATATCGGTAAGAGCTAATGGCTATGGGGCACCTGCTAAGTATCAGGCACCATCTAAAGGCATTACATGTATTAACGTGTTTCAACTTATGTGGGAGGTACTATTAAAATTCCTGTTTTACAGATGGGAGGACTAAGGCCCAGAAAGGTTAACACACCTGCCCAGGGTCACACATCGACAGTCTCCAGAACCAACTTAACCTGTCTCCCTGGTCCCTCTGTGTGGTTCTGACAGAGTGGTGCCTAAGCCTGGACTCTACCTGAGCCCCTTGAGAGACTCCTCCCTGCCCACCCCTGGGGTCCAGCTCACCCACATGGGGTGTGGTGGTGGGGACTCACCAACACGCGGTCTCCCAGGCGCAGGTCCTTGTCACCCCGCTTCACAGAGCCGCTGTCGGAGAGGTTGGAGCCCGACTCGTTGCCTGTCTTGACGGAGCTGTTGAGGACACTCTCCCGCAGTGGGATGACACGGCTGGTCAGCGGAGGTGTGGCTGTGCCTGAGTGCAGTGACAGGTTCTGGGCGGTCAGCGACTCTACCGAGTGGGCATCACTGCCCGAGCCCTCGGCCATGGGCTGCCGGGTCAGCTTGGAGGGTCGTGTGAAGATGCCCTGCAGGGCTGGGCACTCAAAGTAGCGCACGCCACCCACAGCACCGTCGTTCTTGCCCACCGGCTCGTCCAGCACCACGCCGGCCCACTGGCCAGGCGCAAACTGCGTCTCACCTAGGTACTGTACCACACCTGGCTTCACGCCGTTCACCCACACCCGCTCACCAACCTCGAAGTCCCCCACGAAGTCATCGCCCACCTCAGCTGCCTTCGGGCCGGGCTTCTCGGGGGCAGCAGGCGTAGCTGTGGAGGAGGGGCCCGAGGCCTGCTTGTGCAGGGGGGAGCCTATGGGGTGAGGAGAGAGGCAGTGGTTAGGGCTGAGTGTGAGCTGGAAGGCACCAGTGGGGAAACTGAGGCAGACGTGATTGGCAGTGTGACCTTGGGCAGGTCTCATTCTTCGTGGGCCCTGGGCATCCGTAGGTCTCTCCCTACTCTTCCAACCCCTCTGGATAGTTCTGAGGATTAAAAGCTCAGGAAAGTGCCTTCTCAGAAGCAACACTTTCCACTGCTCAGGGTCACTCAAACTCAAGGACCAGGAATAAACCCCTTATTGATGGTTATTAGCTGCCACCTTCCTGCCCTGGTAGGCTCAGATCTTAGAGTCCTCTCTATGTCCCCCACCTTCTTCCCCAGACAACTCTGGACCTTATGAAATTCCCCCAACCTATTCCTTGACAGCTGGCCACAGCCACAAACGTCTTGCAGCAAGGAATGAACCAGGAAAACCCTCTTACTCCACCCTAAGCCCCCCTTCCCTTTCTTCCCCCTTTCCAAGTTACAGCCTAAAGCCTCAGAACTGCACAGACCAGGAAAAGTGGGAGGGAGGAGGTCAGGAGGCGAAAGCAAGTGTGTAATCTCATTCCTACGACTGAACTCTGGGTTCCCTGGCCTGAACTGGGTCCTCTGATCCAGCCCCTCTTATAAAAATAATGACCCTGAGGCTCAGAGAGGCAAGGGCCTTGCCCGAGGCCACACAGTAGAAATGAGACTCAAACCCTGGGAGGAGGCCTACCTCCCAGGCCTGGGCTCCGATGTGCTCCAGACATCAAAGAGGAAGGGAAGGGAAGGAACTTGCTCAAGGTCACTCAGGAAATGACAAAGCAGGGCTCGACTCCACCACGCTTCATGTGTATCTGGTTCCTGGGCCCCATACAAAGCCTCCTGGGCATGTGGGTGCTCAGAAAGCCCATCTTTTGCATCTCAGGGTCTAGAGGTTGCTACCATTTCTTGCCAGACCAAGCGTCAAGCAGAAAAGGTCTCATCCCTCTCTTCCTCTACTCCAGAGGCTGATGGGCTTCTGAAACACAGTTGGAGACATACTCTCATCAGAGCTGCCTATGTTTCTGGTCCTTTCCACGAGTAGCCAGTGGAGGGACCATATAGCAGCAGCTCCCACCAACTTCCTCCTTTCATCTAGGGTCAAAGAACCTGGGGCCCCAGGCCTGGCCGGATGCTATCTCTAACCCTTACGGACAGAGTTTCCAGGCAACAGGAAAGTGGATGCTATCTCAGGGCTGGAAACCAACCCTTACGGACAGAGTTTCCAGGCAACAGGAAAGCCACTCAGTGCTAAGGCAGGCCCAACACACGAGGCCAAGCAGGCGGGTTCTCCCTCTGGGCTCTGGCAACAGTGGCAGGAAAGCACATGGCCACCCATGGCCTGGGCAGCCAGGATGGGAATCTGATCAGGGGGAAGGGCTACCTCTGACCTGTGAGCTGGGTTCCTAGAAGATCAATGAGCTTTCCTGTTGAATTTAATTAACAACCACAGTCATCACACCCATTAATTGATGCTCTGTGCTAAGAGGCTGACATACAGCAGCGCATCTGACTCTCACAGTTAGTCCTATGAAGTCATTTTGTTGTTCCAGTTTTACAGATGAGGAAACTGAGGCTTAGAGAAAGCAGATGCTTCATCTAGGCTCCCAGATGGTAGGCAGCAGAGCCGAGCTCTGGCCAAAGGCCTCTGGCTCTTGGTGCAGGGCACTTTGATTAATCTAACAAATGTATACAAAGCACCCGCCATACCTAGCCCCAAACTACAATCACCCCAAATCTTGGTCCGCTGTGAATGGACTTTTCCCAGAATCTGGCTAAACCTTACAGCTCCCTACAAGTAGGAGACGATCTTATCTTTTACTACTTCCTACGTAAGGACGTCCCCTTCCATTTTTTGTTTAGAGACAAACTGAGTGGGACCTTGGTTGGGAGCCCCCAAGGCTCCCTTCTACCACTGAAATCCCATGAGGCAGACGTCATAGTGTTTGAGGGAGCAGGCCCTGGAGCCCCACAGACCTGCTCTCGAACCCAGCTGCCCTGGCCCCACCTGGGTCTCCTCACCTGCATCTCTGTCCTGGGCTGTTGTGCAATGATAGGAACAGGGCCTGGCCCATACACACGCCCATGAGTGTTGACGATTGTTACTTTGATGAGAATGATTTATACAAAAACTAAGGGATTGAGAAAAAACACACACACGCACACACAAGAAGGGCTTCCAGGGAGGTTCTGGTGACCTTGGGCAAGTGGCTCTTCTCCTGAGTAAACGAGGAGGGTGGCCAAGTCCCCTGAAGTTGGCATCAAACACTGAGTGTAAGTCGGCTCACACAGACCCTATCCTGCTGGTTCCTTGTGCCTGGGCCAAGCTCCTGGGATTCCTTGGTCCTGATCTAGGACAATCCTGTATCACAAAGGAGCTTCTGCTGGGATCCCCACCCACTCCCCACAGTGGCTCTCCTGCTCACTGGGTCAAGCATGCTCTTTCTTTAGGCAGAGCTGCTTCGGAAAGCAGCCAGAAGGGGAGGAAGTCACAAATTAGATGGAGCCTCCGCCCCACACCCCTGGTAACACTGACCAAGGAGCCTGTGGGGCCCATCAACAGCGAGATGTCAATGTTATCATTATTAAAATAGCAGCTACCATTTACGAAGTGCTGACTGCATGCCTCCAATGGACTGGGTACTTTTTATACATTGCATTCTTGCAGATTAGGAAGCAGAGGTTACAAAACTTGTCCAAAGTCAACCAGGCAAGAGTCAGGAGCAGCTGGTCTGGCTCAGAACCCTCCCTCTTGATGGCTCCCTGGCAGGCACCTAGCAGGTGTCAGTGCCCTTCCCTTATCTGTTCCTAGAATACTTCCCTGTGCACAAGGGCTCCCTGATGTCTGCTAACAGGACTGAATGGCTGTGGCCCAGGCCTGTCCCTACCTGTCCTTTTGCTTACAGCACAGAGGAGGGTCCCAGGTTAAGGGGGACCCAGAGTGGCTATTCTTGGCAAAAAGCTGCCTACTCAGCTGTCCTCCCCAGCTGTCCCAGCCCAGGCAGACCCTCAGGTAATCTCCTTTGTTCCCCACCCCTGCCCCTTTCAGGGTCTACAGGCCCAAGGACCAGTTGTTTCAACAGCTGCTAAAATCCAGATCACAAGCCTATGGCAACCGCATTTGGGTGTTTTGCTCCATTTTTCCTCGTTGGTGCCCTCAGCTGCCCCAGTCTCCCAGGGACAAACCTCATCAAATATCCCTCTTACACTGGGAAGCTTTCAGCAGCCTGAGGTTGGGAAGGCGTGGAAAACCCCTACAGAGCCCCCTTCCCTCCAGGGAGCCATTATAACACACTAGCTAGGCCTGGCCAAGCCCCTTCCATATCTGGGCCTCAGTTTCCCCATAGGACAACAAAGAGCTGTGTCAGAAATAGCCAGGGTTCTGGCGGGCACTGATATTCTACGGGTCCCACCTCTTCTCCTGGAGGAGCCGGTGTGAGTACCTAGCTATCAGACCCAGTCACTCCCTCAGGGCTCTGAGGCTTCCTGAAGCTGAGCTCTGGGCCTCACTCTCTCCGAGTTATTGCACAGAACAGCAGTGGCTCAGCAAACCCCCAAGAAAGCAAAGAGCAGCGACAGACTTCAACCTCACAGGAGCAGCTGATCCCTTCCCCAGACGCAGGCACGAGGGGATTTATTGCTGGTTTCAAGTTCAAAGTAGAACTTGGATGAAAAGTACTGAAGGACATGGTGTGGAGTGGCAGCAGCTGGTGGCCCAGTCCAACAGTGGGTGGGGGGCCCAGATAAGAAGGCATCCTTCTCTACTTCTACAAGGACTCAAGTCTTGCCCTTCCTGGAAGCAGAGATGGGTCTTTTCCATACCTGCCATTCTCAGCCACCAAGGACCCTATTCACTGAGCACCCAGTGTCAGATTCTAGGGATGACAGGCATGGCCAAACAAAGGCCCAGCAAGGAGGTGGGGGTAGGGAGGACAACAGGACCACAGCTACAAGTTGGCTGGCCACCTGCCTGATTGAGGAAGGGACCAAGATCCATGGGCACTTGGGGTTGCGGAGAGAAGGCTCACAGCTTATGGGGGTGGGAGCACCTCCCAGAAACTCTGCCCAACATGGTCACACAGTTTGCTCCCTCACCTCCGAAGAGATGACTTCCCTGACTGCTTCCTCTAAAAACCAGTCCATCCACATCACCCTCCACTCCTTTATTCTCCCAGAGATACATCCCCTATCTTCACCTGTGTATGTCTGCCTCCCAGACTTATACCAAAGTTCAAGAGGGCTTTCTTCCTCTCTAGCACCCAGCCATGTGCCAGGTAGCAGGCCCTCAATGTCAGCTGAGCTGTCCGCTCAGAGCTGGGTCCCACTCTTCAGAAGCAGGAGCCATGATGGCTCTGTGCTTAGTGCATAGACTCGTTCCCATTTTTCAGTCAAGGAATCAGAGGCTCAATCCAGGTGGCTTCTGGTTCTCCGGTTCCCCTTTCACCTTTGTACGTCTCCGAGCACTCTCTATTTTCCCCGTGTTTCTAGAGGAAAGTTAAGAACTCCTCTTCTCCTACTAGAAGCAAACCTCCCTCCTCCTTTGGTCTCCCCTGGGACTCACCTCCCTACCTCTCCCCTCTCCCTTCTCCCCTCACTGGCTCTCCAACAGAGCCCACATGTGGCATCGATATCTCCAGCCTACAAAACAGCAGATTCCCCCACCTCACCTTCCCTCCTTCCCAGCAAACAAGCTTTTCTCTCTCTATTTAAATGTTTATTACACAGATCATTCGTGTCCACTGAAGAAAAATTAGAAAACATAGGTTGCCATCAGACAAACATAACACAGTTAACATCTTGGTGTATGTTTTTCTAGGCTTTATCCTGTGCATCTATATGTATGTATATACTGCATACTTAAAACAGAAGTGGGGTCGTATTTAGGTGTTACTTTGTCTTCTGCACTTCTCAAAGTGAGTATTTTTCCATCCAGTAGCATCTAGAAGGAAGTGGTTCCATTAGCTGAG